TGTTGTGTAAAGCAAGAAGACAGGATGGTCATCCCTGATATGGAATGGTCACATAAATTTTCAATATGTGATGTCCATAGGATTTGTGAATACTGATAACATATCATGATGAGGAGACTAGGTGGATGATACTTTGCTCCAGTACCTAATAAACAGATATTCCACTACTTCTCTTTTGCACCCTCTGAATACCATTTAAAATCTGTGAAACTGATGCACTTGCTAAATAGAAAATTGACATTGAAAGTGATGAGAAGGGTGATGAGGGCAAGTAATCTTGCTGTAATGAGTTAGATTCATCATTAAGATTTGAGCATCTTGAGCTTCTGATGAGGCTTCATTTAAAGAAATATTTTCAAGTAATACTCCTTTTTTACTTTCTCCTCATAAATTATTTATTTTTTTAGCATGAGTTGAAAATATACATGCAGCCCAAAGTATTTTGACACTGTCATAAAGGGGTTACACATATAGTAAAGGGGTGTTACACTTATGTTTTTAATAGTGAATGCCATAATTAATTTCTACTTTCTACTATCAAAATTAGATGATTTTGACCATTGAAAACACCAAACCAATTTGGACTGCATGTATAGTTAGGAACTAACAGTATTTAAAGATGATGGATTTGGTGATGATGTTCCTAGGCTTAGAGTAGGACTACAAATATAACAATCATGATTGTTGTGATCTTTTAATTCTGGATAAATAGCATATTTATCTCTAGTTCAGGGTTTATTCAGCTAATTAATTGATTTTCCTGCAAAAATAATTCAGAAACTTACCCTGTTAAAGCTGTGTTGACTTCAAAGAAAGGTTTGTCAAAGTCTTCTATGCCATTAATGAATTGAATGGAATTGGTGCAATACAAATGTGTCCAGAGTCACATTGCCATATTTTTCTGTTTAATAATATTTTCAAGGAAGACAAATTATCATCAACACTTGAGTTAACATTTACAAATTGAAGATGGCTGCCATCTGACATTTCAATGAATATAAATTTTATTTTTAATTAATTATGACAAAAACATTTCATCAGGTATCATTTAATCATGACTCATTTTTCAGATTTAACTTTAGTAATTGTCAATTAGTCATCATTTATCATCCTATTTTATTGGACAAAATCATGTAATACTTTAAGAAGTATAAATATGTTTGAAATCTCCTTCAATGAAAAAAAAAAAATTAATCAATAAAAATAACCCTTTTCATTA